GATGTGGGATCCCAGGGACCCTGGGATCAGGACCTGAGCCGAAGGCAGACGCTTAACCGACTGAGCCACCCAGGCGCCCCATGTGTTGTGGTTTTAGTTTGTATTTGCTGATTATTGATGGTGATCATTGTAATTCCTTCCCTTTTGAATTAACTCAGGGATCAGTAAACTATGTAATGTTGTATTGGAGCAGGTTAGTATACACACTGTGAGAGATCACATAGCCTGCGAAGCCAAACCGATTTCCTGTCTAACCCTGCTTATTGCCTATTTGTACCACACACCGCCCCCCCCCGCCCCCCGCCCCGTTCTCATAGCGGGCCGTTCGTCTCTGTTGGGAACATAGGCTTGCAACTATTTTCTGCCGTAGAATGCTTCACATTCACCATTGCATTTAGTCTCCACAAGCCCAGGAGGGAGTGGTTGCTACTTCTGCGTTTTAGAGACGGGAAACTGAGGCTCCAAAGCGGAGGCACCAAAAGAGGCGTGGCCAGAGACGTGGGACCGGGAATCCAACCCAAATAAAGAGCCAGCCCCAAAGCTCCAAGTGAGTCCGTTGTGTTCCTCCTTCCCCTCTCCGTCCATTATCCCCAACACACACAGCTTTTAATGTGCTCCTTTTGTCCTTTGAGATTGTCAGTAGGATGCCAAGTTGGGGTCATTTTAAAAGGATCAAATGCTTCATATGTGCCAGGTACTGGGAAGAAATAGGGGCTGGGAAGGAGGGAGACTGGAACCAGTTTGCACTGACAATCCCCTTCAAATTTGGCTGCTCCTGATTCCTGCTGCTTCCTCAAAGTGGGCCTGAACTTTCTCAGAGACCCCTGGTCTCCCTGGCTGACCTAAGATCAGACTAGGTCTTGATTAGCCTGAACTAATCAAGAGGTTACGTTTTTACTTCTCATCTATTCCTTGCGTCACCTCAACCCCTAAACACACACACACACACACACACACACACAAACCCCTAATCAGCCAGAAATGTGTGTTTTAGCTTCCAGCAAACAGGCCAGGGCCATCTCACCTGTTTGTGCATCATGGACGATACAACAAGACCGAGACCTCTCAAGTTCTAGAAAACTCACAACTTTTGACCATGGCCCAGGGAGACACCCAACTCAGAGTGCTCCCACCCTCAGGTGAGTCTAGAGGGTTTGGTTTATCAGCAGGAGGATGCACAGGGCAAACTTCTGGCTCCGTTACTTCCAGGACCTCAGCCTGGTTCCCAGATCTTTCTGCCTACCCAGACTGCTCTCTCCTAGGAAACACCATAGACAGGGTTGCCTGAAGCCAGGGCTCCAGGGAAGGCAGGCTGGAGGGAAGGATGGAGCCGCCGGACAGAGCAGGGGCAACTTGCCCACAGAGGATGGCGCTGCCTCATGGCAGACCCTACTAGGCTCTTCCCACCTCTCTCCTGAGTTTGGGAACTGGATTTTATGTTCTCTTTCAGGTGATCAGGGGCCAATTCTCCATCCAACACAACAGGAAATGAAGCAGCCACCATGCGGAGCACTGTGTTGCCCTCAAGTAATGCTCTCTAGTTTATTTTTATTTTTTATTTTATTATTTTTTAAAGATTTTATTTATTTATTTGACAGAGAGACAGCAAGAGAGGGAAAACAAGCAGGGGGAGTGGCAGAGGGAGAAGCAGGCTTCCCGCCGAGCAGGGAGCCCGATGCGGGGCTCGATCCCAGGACCCTGGAATCATGACCTGAGCTGGAGGCAGACGCTTAACGACTGAGCCACCCAGGCGCCCCAAGGACTGGACTTTCTTATTACCTGTCTTGACTTTACTGCAGCCCAGAACTGTGGGCAATGGGATACAGGTGAAGTCTGTAGGTTAATTTAGATTCAGAGGACTCTGAAGTCCTTGGCAAGCCAGGTAGACTTCAGAATCTCAGGACCAGCTAGTTAGGAAACGTTGATAGTTATAGAAAAAAAGTGAAATTTAGCCTACAACCCTGGGAAACAAGAAGTACTCATCTCTGCCCACATGTTCATTCTCTACTAGACTGCCTGCTTTTCAGAAGTACAAGGAAATTACCTATCAAGCATCCAGTCTCTGAAGAAGCTACCAGGAAATAATTTATTGACTACTGATATACATAATTCTTGGACTCCTAAGGCTATTTTAATACTTTACTATTGAGCTCCTCAAATCACTACTGATTGACTGTTGGCCTCTGTCTGAAGGAAAGCACTCACTGAGCAGAGACCATAGTTCTTTCCATCTCCCAGCTGAACTAGAAGTCAAGGCTCTAGGTAGGTGAAGACATCATAATTGTCTAAAGCTTTTGAAATCAGGCCTGGAATCCCAGTTTTGGAAATACACACCCCTATGGAGTTATCAGTGAAGAGTACGCTGGGGCTTTTCTCCTTAGGGATGATGATGATGTTGCCAATGTCTCAATGATACAGGATAATTTTGAGTGCAAAGAGGCCACTTTCCTTAGCCCTCCAGATGGAGTCCCCAGAACAAAAGGCTCAGTCCACTCACACCAGCACAGCTGCATAGGTTGGAGTTGGCCTTTCCAAAATGACCAGCTTGTTCTGTGCCCTAGGACATGCACACAGAACACCAGGAGCACCAGGGCACTCTTCACCAGGAGCTTGCTGTGGAACAAGATCCGCTGGTGGTTTCTGAAAGGTTGTGTAGTCTTTTTTTTTTTTTTTTTTTTAGGATTTCATTTATTTATTTGTCAGAGAGTGAGAGAGAGAGAGAGCACAAACAAGCATGGGAAGAGGCAGAGGGAGAGGGAGAAGCAGGCTTCCCGCCGAGCAGGGAGCCCGATGCAGGACTCGATCCCAAGACCCTGGGATCATGACCTGAGCCGAAGGCAGTCGCTCAACCGACTGAGCCACCCAGGCGCCCCCCCTTTTTTGTAGTAAATATATTTAAAAACACATTAGGCATCATCTGTAATGATTATGGTTAAGAGGTGACAGGGCCAGGGCGTATAAATTCAAGGAAGGTGATGGGTAAATCAATGTGGATCTCTTTGCCAAATACTCAACATTTTTCTTGACCTCGAGCTTCGAGTCAGTTATCAACCCAAACTAGGATGTCCTATAGGCGCCCGGAACACAACCAGCCCCCAACTGACCTCACTATATTTCCCTCATTCCCCAAATGCTTCCCTCTCTTATTCCCGTCTTGATGACAGGTGTTTCCACAGCCACTCATGTTCTAGTGTCATCTCCCATCCAGTCAATCCCCCTAAATGTGTCCTAGCCACTGTTCCTGGGCTACCTTAGGCCAAGTCGGCATTTTCTCTTCCCTTACAGATTCCTTGGCTCCTTCCTTCTGGGAACATCCCCTCCCCCCCCAGACTGCTGAGGAGGGTAGTGGGCTATCGTCACCTCTGACCATTCCCTGCCCCACAGCCCTGCAGGGGCCCTGTGATCTCCAGAGCTTTCCCTCCTCCCTAGGGCACCCTGTGCTGCCTGGAGTGGTGGGGCTTCCTGTCTTGGCCCCTTCCCCTCCCAGGCCGGATGTGCGTGCACGGGGTCCCTGGGTTGGCGCTGTCACTTCCTTCTCTCACAGATAGCAAGGCCATGCTGGATGGGAACCTGAGGCTGTACTCCTGTCAGTGACATTCTCATTAGAGCTGCCTTCAGTGACAAGTGGACCAAGGCAGTAATCAAAAAGGGGTCATGGAATAAATGGTACTTGAGCTGGGCCTTAAAGGAAGTATGGAGGTTAGATCAATGGCAAAGATGCGAGAGAGCATTCTAAGCAAGGGGACCGCTCGGGCAAAGGAGGCTCATTAGTACCTTTACCTTTAAAAACTCTTTATTATGGCAATTACACATCTATACACAGGAGAGATAATAGTATTAAAAATCCCACCCTCCTTTCACCCAGCTCCACTTGTCAACATTTCACTACTTTATTGTGAAACTAGGGAAGGATTTAGGGGAGAGAGCAGTGGGAGCTAATGTTTCTTGAAGTGATAAAAGAAGAAGCACCCACCTAAGGTTGTCCAAATACAGGGGTGCCCACGCACTCTTTTATGAGGGCATCGCTGTGCTTAATTCCTGCTGCTGTGGATCCAGCACTTGGCATGCCAGGTGCTGGGCTAAGCATCTCTTTCCGAGCATAGTGCCTTGCAATCCTCACCACAATCCCAGGAAGTGTGCAAAAGGATTGCCCCATTTGATAGCAACATGGGCTTATCTTTCAGCATAGCATCATTAGCTTTGGACTGTCAGCAGGAATTTGCTGGTCTACGTGCTCCTGGGCAGAGACTTTAGTGGATTCTTCTCTGTTGTCACCATATTCTCTCAGTGACTTGCAGTCACACTGACCAAAGAGCAAGTAGGGCTGGGTACTAGAAAAATGATCCATATTGTTCCTGCCCTCCAGGATCTGCCGCTCCCACTGAGGGGTGCCCCCTCTGATGGCTGTGAGGGCCTCTTTGTGGTAGAAAATGGGATCATCACCTAGCATGATAAGCAAGACGGTAAGAGCCGTGACCTGAGGAGAGCAGGCAAGGTTGGAAATAACTGATGCTCATGACGTTTTTCTGTGCATCACTTAAGAATGCTTTATGGGCTTAAAGTATAAGGAAATGTATCGTTGACTGAACATGGAGTCTAGAGGGACGTGGTCATGGTGTTGGTTTAGTTGTCCAATGAAGGGTCATCAAGGTCCTAGGCCCCTTCCTTCCTGACCCTTTTAACAGCATGTGGGTGTTCAAAGGTATGGTGCTGGGACTAGTTACTCCTTTCTATGAATGAATAGTTTGTAACCATTGCATTAAAACAAGTTGTCTTGGTGTCTAACTGCCCCCCCAGGCTAATTTCTGAGCTCCTTGAGGGCAGAGACAATGTCTTATGCTTTTCTGTACCCCAAGTCCCATGTCCAGCGCTTGGTACACACAGGGTGCTCATTCATTCATTCATTCACTCATTCATTCATTCATTCATTCATTCAAGAATTATTCCTGCTAAGTGCTGTGATGGAGGGGAACACAGGGACCCATGGCATTTATCATTTATCCCAGCCTGTGGGGTGGAAGTGGAGTCAGCAAACACTTTCTTGGGATCATTACACCCGACATGAGTCCCTGAATCACAGAGGCCTCAGCTCAGCAGAATATTGAAGGCTTTAATTCTGTTAGCATCTGGGGTCTGAAGATATTCCTATGCCAAAGCTCATGGGGGTTCACAGTTCAATTACTTCTTATTGAACACCTATTATGTGCCAGGGGCTGGGATGACAGAAATTAATGATAGTTCTTGCCTTCAAGGAGTCTCCAGGTCAGTCAGGGAGACAGGCAAACCTCTTCAGTACTAAGTGATGAGTAAGCACATGGGGCCACAGAGGAGGAGCACCTCCCCAAGCCTAGCAGGGTAGATCAGAGGGGAGGCAGTCTGCACAGGCCACCAGGGATAGGGGGGCACTAAAGGATGAGGAGGAGTCAGCTGGCCCAGAGGCCAGAAGTGGGGAGATTGTAAAATGCCTTAGTGAGGATAGTGAATGGGATGAAGATGGAACAGGTTACAGGCCCCTGGTGGTGCCACTGATTCAGTTGGCATCGTTGTGTCTCAGGTGATCTCCAGGTTATTTTCTGATGATGTGGGATTCAGTTTCAGAGTTGGCTCTGCCTTTCCATGTTACCTAGTTTCGACTTAGGAGCTCTTTGTATTTTTGTTCCTGCTAGCTCTTTGGCCAGAGAAATTGTCGCCTTACTGTTTTGTTTGGGTCAGCTCATGACCTTCTTCCTATCAGTGTCTGTCTCTGACAGTGCTCCAGATGATGTAATTGTCCATGAAGGGACAGTGCAACATCCACAAACACCCCAGAACTGCCACATCTTGGAAAGCCTTAGGATTCATTCTATTTCTCTTACCACAGGAAAGGGGCTGTAAGGTCCAGGTGCACAGAACCGTGGAGTAGTCCTCGGAGGGAGGAGTGGAAGGAACCACAAGGGATGACCAACTGGATTCTTGAAAGGGGGCCAGATCAGTTCTGAAGATAGATATCTTCCCCTTCCCCTTGCATTGGGTTGCTGCCTCATCTGGTTATAGCTCACCAGAAGTCTTCTGAGGGCACCCTTGACTTCCTTGTTCCTCAGACTATAGATCATAGGGTAGAGCATGGGAGTTACATTGGTGTAGATTAAGGACACAATTTTGTCCTGTTCCGGGGTGTAGCGTGACTTGGGGCGGATGTAGATGAATATTGCGCAGCCATCGTGCAGAACAGAGACCAGCAGGTGCCCAGCGCAGGTGGAAAAGGCTTTGCTCCTTCCCTCGGCTGAGTGCATTCTGAGGATGGCAGCAATAATGAATGCATAGGAGAGCAGAATCAGCAAGAAGGGAATCAACAGGATGACCATGCAGACAAGGAAGACTGCAATCTCTTTGGCTCTTGTGTCCGAGCAGGCCAGAAACAGCACAGCAGGGATGTCACAGAAGAAATGATTGATCTCGTGGGACTGACAAAAGGGCAGGAGGAATATCAGCATAGTCAGGGTGAGTGAGAGTGCAAAGCCACTGATGCATGCCAGAGTCAGCATCTGCAGACAGAGGGCCCTAGTGATGATGACTGTGTAGCGCAGTGGGTTGCAGATGGCCACAAAACGATCATAGGCCATCACGGCCAGGAGGAAACACCCTACACCACCCAGGGCGATGAAGAGGTGCATTTGCAAGGCACAGCCCAGGAAGGGCATCCGCTGGCTCCTGCATAGGAAATTGGCCAGCATGTTGGGGACAATCACCAATATATAGCAAATTTCAGTGGTGGACAGATTGCGAAGGAAGAAATACATGGGGGTCTGGAGGCAGGAGTCAATGAGGGTGATGAGCACAATAGTTGTGTGCCCTGTTAGGGTGACGAGATACATGATTAGAAAGAGTCCAAAAAAGAAGATTTGCAGTTCGGCCAGGTCCCCAAAGCCCAAGATGATAAACTCAGAGCTTAAGGTGTGGTTTTTCTGCAGTAGGGCCATCCTACATTCTCCTCTGTAGAACTCCTAGGCTGGAAAAGGCAGTTTTCTAGCAATTCTCCAAGTCATGGAAGGCCCTAGGGCCCTTTCTTTTTTTTTTTTTTTAAAGATTTTTTATTTATTTATTTGACAGAGAGAGACACAGCGAGAGAGGGAACACAAGCAGGGGGAATGGGAGAGGGAGAAGCAGGCTCCCCGCAGAGCAGG